GCGCTATGAACATTGTGAACATGTAGTCAGCCTTAGTCAATAGTGCCTTACCTATAACTGCTTACGTGTTCATCTTTTATTTCATCTTTTTTTATCANNAGAACTGCCTCTGGATAACCAGTGTCACCAAGAAGTGGAAGAAACTAGAAAGAAATCGCCCAGTGGTCATAGTCGGTCCGATGTAAGGCAGAACTCTTTGTTTGCTTTAGTAACTTTTTCTCCGTGTCTTTTAGGGAGTTGTATCTGTAGTTGGCTTTTCCAAATTCACCATTACCGCTTGATGCTCATTTAAATATCTCGAGCACCGACCACTCACGATCTTCCTGTTATGAACACTTTCAGCTCGACAAGAAGGATGGGTAAATAATACTGCCGGCAAAGACAGGGGAAACTATAGCGGTAATTTCTGGCCTAGTAGCCGTCGTCAGTCAGACCTAGCGTAAACTAATTTTCTCGTTGGTTGTGGCTGTTACACCCACCTTGTGCGTCGGGGAATCTACTTAGTTTCTTCTGATGGTCGAAATTTCGTGTACCTATGCTGAGTTATTTTACCGAAAGTAGTACTCGCTGTTTAGAATAAGGGGTTAAAATTGTGATTTGGCTCATTTTAAGTTCCCTTCCGTAGCCTTTTTGTTTGGGGCAAACTTAAGATGGTCGACTGTTCTTAACAGCCATAATTTGCATCCTTAGTAACTCTTACCACCCACTTTTCAGGCGAATTTCCGTGGATCGCAAGTGAGTCTCTCAGAGTACAACAGGGTAGTTGAGCTTAACCTCCTCCTCAAATCCCAGCTTGAAGCCCTGGCTGATCACGCCCCCGTGAGTCTACTCGACAGACTTGGACTCGCTGATTTTCGAAAACGTCTTTCCGGTGGCTTCTTCGCCTCCTCAAACGCCTCGGGCACGTCATGTGACTCGAATCCCCACAGCGGATCTCAAAGCGCCTCCGAGGCGGAGGACGATCGGGAGCCAGCCGGTATGTCAGCAAATCGTTTGCATCTTAAAATTTACGCAGCTTCTGAAGTCACATAGATGAGGAGTACAGGCTTTTTAGTCCCCGTTCGTTTATATTTACACCTGTGTTCCCTGTCTTTCCCGCAGGCGACGCTGTTTCGCACTGTTGTCCGGACAACTGTGACCCTGCCTCCGCTGCTGCAGATGTAAGTCACTTGTTACTGCCTGTAATCTCCACCGACTCTTGTATGTGTTTTGACTACCCTAGTTCAGCCCTGCATTATTCCGCAACTGAAGCCAGAAATTGAGATAGCGGCGTGAGGTTACGACAATTCGACCGTCGCTCTCAACGATGTTCACCGCGGGCTTCAGCAAGCTGAAGTAAAGTGAATGTAGTCTTGCGGAGAATCTATCCCACTTTCTCACCACTCCCACACCTGAATCCGATTTGAAGAAAAAAGTCAGTAGGATCGGAGATGGGGGAGGGCACAGGCGGCTGGCGCGACCGACAGCACACCTCGTTAGGTAGGCTCCCGCCTGGGAGCGCTATAAAGGCCAAATTAAGGAGGAACCATTGAACCTGACTCTCAGCCCGCAGTAAGCCACTCCACACCACAAGACACACACTGGACCGACTGCAGGGTCCATGTTATCCTGTCAATTGGCAACCCTCCAAGCCATGGCTTTTAGCGCACCGTGGGAGCTTCAAGTGCATCGGCTTGTTTTTAGTGAAGAAAGAAATGCACTGAGGGTCGACCTCACTCTCCCCCACCTCCAGCAGCAGGCCACCGCTTAGCCGATCAGTCGCCTGAGGTGGCATGGGCGTAGTGCTGAGAAGGAAAGGGTGAGGTAACAC